AGAACTACAACAGTTACCCCAGTGAGCGAAATAAAGGGTTCAGTTCGAAATTCCAACCACCTGAAGAAGGCCGGAGCGTACAACAGCTGAAACGCTGTGATAAATATGGCGACAAAGATTCGAACAATAGTCCGAATAATGTAAATAGTGTACATAATACCTCATCTCAGAAATATAAACAGATATATTTTTTTTATTTTCTGTCAGCCTTAAGGGTCCTCTAAACTTCAGATGAAAGAAATACTAGTCAAAAGTTAATAACTGACAACGCTTGATCGAAGATCATTCCATATAATTTCTCCATACTAAAGGAATAATTTATAGATATAAATAACTTAAAATTGAGATTTCTGGAACAATTATGTTAATTTAATATTCATTATGGGGTTACAGACTTTGTAGGCGTTGAGAGATAAACATGTGTGTCTCCTTAAATGCCCACAACAAACATGGCAGACTCATGGATGTGAGTCCATGTAAAGAAACCGATATATATATATATACAAACAAATGATAATGTATTAACAACAAAGGGCTAAAAGTGAAAATGTTTGTAACAAATGAATATGGAAACTTTTTGGTCCAAAGTATGTGAACTGAGTGAATGCGCGTAGATATGTGTGTGTGTATTGTTCACGCTTTTCCCAAAAGGGAACGCGTTATAATCGCGTTCGTCAACGAGAAATTATAATTATGGCGGAGTATTTATAGTGCCGTAAAGCGCCCCCTAATAGCGCTTTCGAAAATTAGGAGGCGGTAATCCGACAATGTAATGAACATTTCCGGCAAGACATCGAAATTATCTATTATCCGATTCGTTGGACTTTATCATTCGACAAATACAAGAAACTATTAAAAAAAAAATTGAATTACTTATTCAACATATATAGTGAGGTGATTCTAAGAACTTGAAATCCTAGCAGCATTCATTGGCGGCCAAAATCTTAAGCTATGCAGAAGGTACAGTGTTGATATCAGGCACAGAAAGGAAGCTATAGCTCCTCCTACAGAAGGTAGTGAAGAAAAGCGAGAAGGATTAAGCATCAACTGCAAGACTACATAATGCATGGTTATTAGCGGAAGGATGAGCCCAAAGTGACAATTACAAATCGGAGATACCAAAATGCGTGTTGAAATTTCAGCATCTGGGAAGTGTTGAAATAAAGGACAGAGGGTGTGACACTGAGGTTCAAAGAGCTATTGGGGTAGCCAAGGAAGGCTTCCAAAAGCTAAGAGTACTAAGAAATACAAAAATGCCACTAGAAACATGGAAAAGAGTACTAAACGGTTATGTGATAATCTATCCTCCAGTATGGCAGTGAATGCTGGACAATCTCCTTGAAGATGAAGAGATTTGAAGCAACAGAAATGGGGATTCTATTGAAATATGCTGAGGAAACGTCTGACTGAACATATGAACAACAACGATAAAATGGAAACAAAAAGGAAACGAATATCAAAGAGTTGAAATTTCTAGGGCACATAATGAGGAAAGAGGGATTGGAGAATCTGATACTCACAGGGAGAGATTGAAGGCAAGAGGGACAGAGGAAAGCAACGCATAACCTTAGTGAGCTTGCGTAAATGGATGGTGGAACAGGGTTTGGGAGAAATAACAGAGCTACAAGAGATAGGAAGTTGTGGAGAGACGTGATCGCTTACGTCCCGAGGGGACACGGCACAAAGATAGCAACATATTTCTTTTTATTCAACAATAAATAGGCTGGTGTTTAGTCAAATCTTTTTGGTAGAGTTTTCAACGACTTCTACGAACTCTCGAGTGGAAGTTGTAATGTGCTGTCAGCTGCTCGGCTCACGGAAATGAGAATTATTTTTAAATTGAAGCCTTTCTTTCTGTTTGATTCATTCGAATGAACAGGCCTGCTATTTACCGAAATTCCTCATTGTCTGTATACTATGGAAAACTGAAAACTCTTAAGCGTTAAAGAAACGAGAAACGTACCTTAATTTCATTTTCTGATTGGCGTGGTAAAAGATGGCATTAGTAATCAAAAAGCTCAGCTTTGACCTACTTTTGCTAAATGGAAGATTTCCATAACTGATTCTTCGACAATGCTTTAAGTGACGTCATGATAATTTTTGAGGTTATCTCTGGAAAAATACCGAGGAGAAGGCGTGTACAAATCGTTCCTCTCCGTCGGGGATGGAAACTAAAATGTCTAAAGAATAAATTGGAAAAAGTAAAGAGATAAAATCGAACTTTTCGATTACATTTGCCAAAAGGACTCTGCCTTTTCAAACCTGAAAAATATATCTAGGGACTTTTATGCCTTTGTCTGCTGTGAGAATTTAAAATACACTTATGACAAGTCCGTTTTTGTTATTTTTGGGGTTTTGTTATTTTGGGGGGTTTATTTTGGTGGGGGGTGAGTATGGGAATTAACTGACTTTAAAATTATTCAGTTTAAAAACATTGCTATTAACATTTGAGTTCTTGGAGAATAAATTTTAATTATGGTAAACACTCGACATGAGTTTGTTTTTCGCGCTTGCGTTTCGCATTTCTGAGAAAGTTCGAACAGTTGACAGATTTGACCAACTTTCGTCGTAGACAAAACTGACGCAACACGATCTTATTTTATTGTAGCAATTTCATTATGAACTGTGCCGATTGTTTCCTTTTACGTTTAATAACACAGATCAATTTTAATGTTTTATTTTCGTAATAGGTTCTGACTTCTTGCATTTCCTTGACAGTTCGGCACCCTCCCCCTCCGTGTATCCTTGACGATTCTGAAGCTTCTCCCATCTATCATTCACCGACTTGACGCCTCTTCCTCTTCTTCACTCCCTCTTTCTCTTTTCCTGTACCTCCTGTCTCTCCACCTTTCTTTTCTATCTTCACATTCCTTTTCTCTTTTGTTTTCCGTCTCTCCACGTTTTGTTTTCCGTCTCTCCACGTTTTGTTTTCCGTCTCTCCACGTTTTGTTTTCCGTCTCTCCACGTTTTGTTTTCCGTCTCTCCACGTTTTGTTTTCCGTCTCTCCACGTTTTGTTTTTTTGTTTTGTTTTCCGTCTCTCCACGTTTTGTTTTTTGTTTTCCATTTTCTTTCGTCGTCTCTCCATTTGTTTTCGTCTCTCCATTTTGTTTTCCGTTTCCCGTCTCTCCACGTTTTGTTTTTGTTTTTTCCGTTTCCGTCTCTCCACGTTTTGTTTTTTGTTTTCGTCTCTCCACGTTTTGTTTTTGTTTTCCATCTCTCCACGTTTTGTTTTTTTTTCTCTCCACGTTTTGTTTTTTGTTTCCGTCTCTCCACATTTTTTTTTTGTTTTCCCGTTTTTTTTTTTTTTTTTCTCTCCACGTTTTGTTTTTTGTTTTCATCTCTCTCCACATTTTGTTTTTTGTTTTCCGTCTCTCTCCGTCTCTCGGTTTTTTTGTTTTTGTTTTCCGTCTCTCCACATTTTGTTTTTGTTTTCCGTCTCTCCACGTTTTTGTTTTGTTTTCCGTCTCTCCACGTTTTTGTTTTTTATTTTCCGTCTCTCCACGTTTTTTTTTTTGTTTTCCGTCTCTCCACGTTTTGTTTTTTTTTTCCGTCTCTCCACATTTTGTTTTTATTTTCCGTCTCTCACAATTTTGTTTTGTTTTCCATCTCTCCACGTTTTTTTTATCATCTCTCCGTTTTGTTTTTGTTTTCCGTCTCTCCACATTTTGTTTTTTTTTCTTTTTATTTTTTTCCGTCTCTCCACATTTTTTTTATTTTCCGTCTCTCCACGTTTTATTTTTTTTTCCGTCTCTCCACATTTTGTTTTTTTTTTTTTCCGTCTCTCCACGTTTTGTTTTTATTTTCCGTCTCTCCACATTTTGTTTTTTGTTTTTTCCACATTTATTTTTTGTTTTCCATCTCTCCACGTTTTGTTTTTTGTTTTCCGTCTCTCCACGTTTTGTTTTTTGTTTCCGTCTCTCCACGTTTTGTTTTTTGTTTTCCGTCTCTCCACATTTTGTTTTTTTGTTTTCCGTCTCTCTCCACATTTTGTTTTTTTTTCCGTCTCTCCACGTTTTGTTTTATTTTTCTCCACGTTTTATTTTTGTTTTCCGTCTCTCCACGTTTTGTTTTTTGTTTTCCGTTTCCATTTTTGTTTTGTTTTTGTTTTCCGTCTCTCCACGTTTTGTTTTTGTTTTCCGTCTCTCCACGTTTTGTTTTTGTTTTCCGTCTCTCCACGTTTTGTTTTTGTTTTCCGTCTCTCCACGTTTTGTTTTTGTTTTCCGTCTCTCCACGTTTTGTTTTTGTTTTCCGTCTCTCCACGTTTTGTTTTTGTTTTCCGTCTCTCCACGTTTTGTTTTTGTTTTCCGTCTCTCCACGTTTTGTTTTTGTTTTCCGTCTCTCCACGTTTTGTTTTTGTTTTCCGTCTCTCCAGTATAAAAAAAACTGAAAACAATTACTTGATTACTTATTTTAGTGCTGTATAATGTTTTATACACCCTTGTACACGTGTAAATTATTTTAAAAAATCTCACTAATTCTAACCCTACTCCTGTTGTAATTGGAGGTACTGTCGTTGAAGCATATCACCGGTGCCTAAAGCTAGACAAACTTGGAACGGTAACAAGGAAACAATGAAGATTTCTCTTTTAGTTTCCTTCACATGCACATTCGCCCGCCTTTCAAATCGCTTCATTATTTTTCTTTACTTTTAAAAAATGTTATTGATAATGGGCAAAAAAAAAGGCCGCCAGCTTCGACTTTCTGTTCAAATGAAAGCCAACACTTACAGACGTTTCACAGAAAAAGTGTTTAAAAAAAAGAAAGTTCTTTTTAATTAAAACGAAAAACAAATGCAATAAATTCTTGCCGCAGTTTATCTTCGGGGCAACGCAGTTTCCCAATCTACAAATTAAAATCTTGTTGAGCAGAAATGATTTCATCCGGAGAGACTCGCTTCAGCCGAGTCAACCGGAAACGAAACTGAAGATTCCTGTTCGACAACTGGCTGAACAGTTTCTTCTTTGGGCTCTCACTTCAGTCCTCTGCTTTAAGGAGTGTCCGGCTGTATCACGTTGAAACACCGGTTACCGTACGATCACCGAAGTTAAGCAACATCGGGATAGGTTAATATCTAGATGGGTGACCGCTTGGATAATACCAAGTGCTATAAGCTTTGATGTGGAGGTGATGTAATGGGCCTACAGCCACATCGCTTTGAAACATTAGTTCCCATACAATCACTGAAGTTAAGCAACGTCGAAGCTGGTCAGTACCTAAAATGGAAATTGCTTGGAAATATCAGGTGCTGTAAGTGTGGGTATATCGGGGAGCACTGTTCCAATTTCTCTCCGGTTTATTCCATTAACTTAGGTACCTCCACGAGATCGTTAAAAAAAAGAGCATAGCATGATGAAAAAGACGCCAAACTTGATGAAAACAAAATTTTATCGTCTAAATGTTTATTATTAAGAGGAAAGATCAAAGTATTTTGGGGTTATTTTTTTTTACATTTTTTAATCGTTCCTAGCACGTCCAAAATTTTCGTTAAAAATCTTTTTTTTTTTTTTGAAATCAGCAAAATTGACCGACGGAAACCATTTTTTTCCATTTTATAAAAAAACTGGAAATCTCATTTTGAAATTCTTTTAACTTTTGAAAAAATGATAATTGATATTTATTTTAAGAAAATCAGAAATTATAATGTTTATTTAAAATATTTTGAACCAATCTTAACTTAGCCTTTGCGCCGAAAAGATGTAATTTGAAAATAAAACAAAGCAGATCATAAACTTTCGGGTCACTTGACAGGTGATGAATGACATATTGACGGATTCCGTGAGGATAATTTGTTCTACGGAAGGAGAAAAGTGAAATTATTTACATTTAAGTGAACAAATTATCTCATTTTTTTTAAGGAAAACTTTCAGCGTTCATATTTTTTTTTGTACTTAGCTTTCACCTTTACGTTTACGATGTTTTATGGAAAATATAAAGAAATTAAAATAAGACTGTTAAGAGTGAGATTAAATTTCATATTTCATAAGAAAGGTATCTAATTAATTTATACGTACCTTTCTTATGAAATTTTATCAGAAGTATACATAAAATACTATAATTTTATTACATTTTACTGTGTTATTTATATTTCCATTCATTTTATTATTTTGATATTTAAGGAAAAAATGCCATAACCGAGATTAATATAAAAATAAGATCATATAAATTTCATAAGATGATACCAATACTTGTAGGTACCCTTCTCAGTTGAAATTGAAAAATCAAATAAACTTCTCCACACGTGTTTCGCAAAAATAAAGGCCTTAACAGCGGAGAACAATGCTTAACTCAAATAACGCAACTTAATTGTATTCTGGTTGGTCTTCCGTATTTTATAATTACAGCCTGATTATAAACACAAAATTACATTTCTTAATTACTGCAGATCTTCTGATTAGTCAAAATGATACAATTTACAACGCGCTAAAAAAAAAAAGATCTATCTCATAAAGACACTTAGGAAACCTGATGCGGCTTTTAAGATTTTAACAACTTAAAGTAAAAATCTATTATAGTTAAGAAATAACAAATTAAAAAATTCATTTTTCATCGAAAATTTTTTTTGCTTTCAGAAAATATTGTCCATATTCATAAAAACAACTAAAAGCAAATAAAAGCATTTGAAATTAAATATCTTTGTTTTATTGAGTTTTGTATGTTACAATTCAGAGCTGATTTTCAGGTAGGGGGTGGTTCGAATTAAAAACAAAAATGACGGTTTGCATTCCTCAAAGCCTTGGGCTTTTAAATATTGTAATCACTAAACCTGACAATAGTTCCTGAAAGTTTAATTAACATCCGACAATTATTTTTGCAAGATTTTCCAAATTAATGTGTCATACAAAAAAAAACGTGCTAAGAATTGAATGTTATTTTACTAGTTCCGTTGATACAAAGAGAAACAAGGTTTTTTTTAATCAAAATTTAGAATGTTCTAAAAAGGAAAAATTTTAAAAAAATAATTAAAATAAACTTTGATCTTTCCTCTTAATAATATAAATATTTAGACGATAAAATTTTGTTTTCGTCAAATTTGGCGTCTTTTCATCATCTTATGGTCTTTGTTTAGTCATGGAGGTACCTACATCAACTTACGAGAAAATGCTCTTTGGAAAGGCATGAATCGACCTTTTCCGCCCAGCTATGGGTTAATTAGTAAGACTGGTATCGCTAAAACCATTATCGCCATTTAAAAATACTGCGTACAAAATATTTAGATTTCGGTATTAAGTAACCCATGAAGATGTTGATATACTGCTAAACAAAAATAACCAATCAACATTCTTTTGAATGTCTCGCCACAAAGATCATGTTGCGTCACTTTTCTTTAATCACGTTATTAGGTTTTATTTATTTTTGTCTGTTTTTATTTTGTCTCGACTCGGATCGTTAAGGAAATAAGAATATCTCTGCTACCAATCAAACAAACATGTTGTAAATCTTGAACATTATCAGAACTTGTTTCCAACCTGTACGATAATAGATAAAACTGAATCTCTTCCCTCTTAGCCCAACATTGCAACCACTAAGCGTGATCCTCAAAAGCCATTCGTATCAAGAAGGTCATCGATTGATACACACGGCAATTGTAACAAATTATAAGAAACATTAATCAATATGTTGGCTATTGCATTCTCTTGAATAATATGATGCTAATGGGCTTCCATATTTATGAAATGGTTTGAAATTGATTAGCTAATTAACCAAATAATTTCATTGGTTAATCAGCTCGTCCAATGGAAATTAGCGACTGGAAAGTGTTAAGTGGACAGTTTTCACTTTGTGGAATTTTATTCCGATTGTTGACCGTTCGCCAGATTCTGTTTCCCCCAAATATTTCGTCTGTTAACAGATTCCATGTTAATTCTTTTAGCTGTTGCTAATGACGCAATTTTATTCAGACCGTTGATCTACGGCAATGAGTTGAACATTCGAAATCACATCAAGGGACGCTTGATTCGACACACCAGATGCTTTAAGCTCTAGGCTATGAGAACTTTTCGGCTTTGTGATGAAGAAATTGAGTGATGATAGCTGTTCTCAATTTTGTAATATTAATAGCAGCAATAGTTGTTTTTTTTTTCTTAGTTGAAGCATTGTCAGTCTTTATTATTGGTCTTGATAAGAATATTTTTTACCTTTTTTGAAGAATCCTCAGTAAAATAAAATTCTGAATTTGCAGAGTTTGATTTTTACAACGAGACATAAAACCAAATTTCGTGTTATAACGCTTTAAATTTGAAATGTTGCCATGTGATAACGTTTTCAGCATCGAGTAAGTGTGAAATTTTACTTACGAGGTCTATAGAATGAATTAATAAATGAAACTTAGATGTGGCACAAGGCCGAAAGTATGGAGCACCCAGTGAGGACCGAATTCACTACTCAGCTCTAACTGATCTAACGTAACAAGCTTGCTAAACATTACACCACGTCAAAGTGTTCTTTACGTAATCTATATAATCTGTTGTGCGCAGATATGAAACATTGACCACATTTTAAAGTAGGCACCTCCAAAAAATTCGGTACCAAGGTTTAAATGTATTTTTCATAAATAAAAAATCATTTTTGAAGCTTTCCCCAAGCTTCAATTGAAAGCTAAAGGGTTCAATTTTCTAATTCCAGAAAACAAAACACTACTGTATTTCAACTAGAAATTATAATGATTTTAATCGATTCTTCTGAAAAACTAATTGAAACGGCCATGTTTAACTTTTTTTTATAGAGAAATGTAAACAAATATAATTTTTTTTTTTTTTTTTTTTTTAAACCGCCTAAAATAACAGATTTTTGAAACGTTACTTTCGTAAAATTAGCATATTTAAAGTTTAATTAATCTGTTTTAAAACAAACATCACTTACTTACACCATGGAGTCTTGAATTTTCTCGAGTCTCCATCGATAATTTGATGGCCGCGTGTGTTGACAGGTTTAGTATGGTGGACCAGAGCTGATACAATTTTTCGAATTCTAAGTAAGAATGGTTTGCTACTGAATTTTTAATTACTAAGTAATGTCTAAAATTTAAAATATTTCAGGCAATTATCTAATATTTTACTGATTTTTTTAACTGTAATTTTGAAGATGTTTTTCTTATAATAATTTAAAATAAAATACTATAAAAAATTTTTAAATTATGTAGTTACCTCTATAATGGTAGATAATTATGATAAATAATTTTATTAATTACTATATTATCAGTTATTACAATTTTTAATTAAATAACTGAGATGTAATATTATTAATTATATTAATTATAAATTATATTATTAATTATATTAATATTTATCTTAAATTATTAATAATAATAATAAAAATTATTAATTATTATAACTTCTATCTCACTCAGTTATTACATTTTTACAACTGAAATATAATTTTATCTCAATAATTCACTTAATTTAATAACTGAGTTATAATTAATAAAAGTAATTATCTGTTATCACAAATGATAGATAACACTATGCTTTAAAATTTATAGTATTTAATATTTATATCTTTTAAGATCCTATTTTTTCATTTTATTCTTTATTATATTTTGATGTTTATGAATTGTTAGTTATTTTATTTATTAAATTTTTAAAGTACTTAAATTTTTATTACTTAGATAATTGTACACCAAGGGCTTTCCCATAGGGGGAGACAAGCCTTGAAACGCGTGATCTTTTAACCATAATATCACTTGCGAGACACCATACCAATAAATAAAAATAAACATCGTGACGCACAAAAAAAAATAACTTTTATTATGGTAAAAAGTTTTGGTAGCGTTATTTGTATTAAGCTTTTAATTTTCACTAGTAAATATCGTCTTCACTTAAAAACCTAATAGCCGACCAAATGCGCTGCAAGAAAGAATTTTAAAACATTTTTGAAAATTAAAGAAAAAAAATGAAAAAAAAATGAAAAAAAAGGGAAAAAAATAAAAGAAAAATGCAAACAATTGTTGTAAAAATTCTATATTCACCGAAATTTTATTTTTTCTTCAGATAATAATGTCTTTAATGTATATTATTTATAAAAGCAAATAAAAACTTATCTAATTTGATAATTAGATAGTTTATTGCAGTTTTTATTTTTATGATTTGGAGCAGATTTTTAAAAAAATT